CTGAGCAGAAAGTTCGAGAGAAGTCAATCCTACCTGAGCCAGAAGCCATCCAACTCTTCTCTCCCCTCCCTGTCCCTCTGAGACTGTTGCTCCACACCGGAAAGATCACAGTCGGCGTAAAACAATCCCTCTAATCTGGAAGTCCACATGCACCCATGCAGCTCTCCATTTCGTGCAAACATTCCAAACAAACTCAGGCGCGTGCAGAAGGCGATGCCGCCGGCCCGGTTCGCCAAGCGAACACGGCTTTCAAGGCGCACCTGGTCAGGTCCGGACAAGGCTCAGCCGAAGCAGCCAAATCAGCTGATCAGCTCGAGAAAAGGCCCTATAAGACTGTTGGAATTGCATCCCATATGCGAGTGGCAGGGAAGACTTGCACACGTGCATGTTTCACTTTGCTGACTAACACGTCCCCGAAATCGCTGGCTGTCTCGACCATTCCAACGGTAACGGCCAATGGCACAACAATCATCTTCTGTGCTGCAAGGCTTGGGTAAGTTCTGCCCGTGGCATGACATGCACGGCAGTCTCTGTCGTCTGTAGTCAAAAAGAAGCCACGAAAGATAGGGCAACAAAAGCAAGCAGAGTCGACAAAGCTCGCTCTTTACTGCGTGCATGCGCGGCAGCGTGGATGCAACCACGTTTTTATTGCCATGAACCTTCAACTTGCAAGATGATAGCGATCTTGCCCACATACAGATACGCCCTTGTCTACCTCACGGACTTCCGGAATGTCCCAAAATAGCAATAACTCGGCCATCTACGAGCAGCTCCGAACAGTCCTCGTGGCAGCTTAGCCCACTAACTACTGAGGCAGCAGACTTGAGACCTACTACGCTCGACATAAAGACGAAAAGGTACGCTGCCATGTTGCGCAAACAGATGGACCCTGGGGGGGGGGGGGCGCGGCTCCTTCGTGCTCTGAATCAATCAGTGGCGCGGGACGGTCTGTTAACTGATGTGACAAGAGCAGATAAGGTTCTGGACACGATTTTGACCTACTACTAAGTGGTAAAGGACAACTCATGCAAGCTGCACAGAGCTAGCTTTCATGATTTAAGGCCATGCCCCCTGTCCCGCAACTGGCGACCAGTCCCACAGTTCAATACTCCCGCTCGCACATTCCCAAGAACAAGTTGCACGAATCACGCCCTCGCTGACCCCTTATCTTGGGCAGGCACTGCGCACTGGACTTGAGATTTCAGGAGCTCCTTCATGATGCCAGACCTTCTTTCCAGCTGGAAACCAATTCACCTAATCGTGATGCTGCCTGCAGCAAAGCTGTCACACAGATTTGCGCTGATGTTTCCAGACTGCACTGACTCTCCGACCAATCTATCTCCTCACTGCTGCTTTGCAGCTTTTATGGTCCAGACCTTCTTCGAAGGAGACATCAAAAACTTGGTATCGCTTCAGCAAGTGCAAACGCACTTGCAAGGCCAAGGCGAGATCATGCGAGACTTTTCATGCTTTGTCTGAGCTGGCGCTACCTGAAGCTTGATCTACTTCTGATCTCTCCAAGACGTCAGCTGAAGCGATTCGACGTGGGGCCTTTGCTGTTAGGCTATTAAACTTTACGCGGACACGACCCAATCAAGGCATCAGGACGACAACCATCGAACTCCAACAAGAATCACAGCAAAGACCGCACTGCGTGAGTCTTGCCGGACTCACGCGAGAGCGTGCAAACGCCCGTTCGAAAACGGCACATGCTCTTTGAGCAGAAATGCGCTGGGAATCTGCACAGAACAAGAGCGGCAAGTAGTTCTTGCCTGATCTGGTCCTTGCTTATACGGAAGAGACTGCCATTAGTTTCGTTGCAGTTGCATGTGCCGTGGCAAGGTTCCAGACACAAAGCAGCGGCCAGGCGTGAGCACTGGGATCCTGATTCTCAGGATCCTCAGACTCGCCTCATCGCACAACGGCCGCCGCGAAGCTTCCTGTCGCCACATTGCTAGCTGCACTGCCGTATGCCCGGCTTGGAAGGACCAAGGGATCTTCTTGGAGATTCTCGAGTGCCTGCCGGCAGCTGCGCAAGAAAAGACCCCAGAAAAGAGTGCTGATACAAGGCACGCAGACCAGGCCTCTGCCAAGCTCGCTGTGTGAAGTCTTGGTGCCATGACTTCTTGTGCAAGCTCCTCCATTGTCATCCACCTTTCAAGGGCGCAAAGCTTCAACATCTACGAGAGTGGCGGAGTAGAAATCAGCAGCATCAGCATCCGCCTGAAAACCCGTTTCCGATTGTCGACGATCTTGGACACCTCGTTGAGGACGTCCTCTGACGAAGCTGAGGCTGGGCTTCCAACAGAAACTGAGCCCTGGCCCCTTCCTCGGGGACGTAGGGCACGCAGAGCATGTACAAGAAATACTCGTGAATGTCGTTGTAGAAGATCCGTGCGCCATCGTCTAGGAGCTGCAGGTGAGCCCACTCCTCCAAGCGAGGGGCATCGAGGTAAACGAGTCAGAGAGAGCGGGCCTCGCTGGCTCTGAGCATCAGTGGCAGATTCGCCAGGCCCTGAGCCACTCAAGCTCTTCCACAACACCAGGAAGGAAAGCGGGCCCCTGAGGGCAAAGCTTGGTACAACTCCTGGAGCTGCGCTGGTGCGTTGTCGCCCTCCAGCTTCAAGGCCTTGGACAAGTGTGTGGCCGTGGTACACTGATACCACAACTACGAGGGGCACAGGTTTCTAGCTGCATATGTACTCCATGTTGTTTCCCGCTCCCTGCTTTTACATGTATTGCCCTAGCCTCGTATATGCCGACTCTGGCGGCTATGTTGAGAAAACCTCCCTTTTGCCTCTCACGCCCCAACAGGTACTGCATAGGGTGGGGGCAGGGCAGCTTTTGCATGAAGGACGTCCCTGCATCCCCCTTCACACATGCTAGTAATAATAGAAGGTTATGCTTGTTTCTGTCTTCCAAACAAAACCCATCCTCATCAACAGGATTCAACGGCTTCCATTGTTTCTGTCGTCCCCTTTGATCTACCCCAGCTTTGTTATTGAGTCGTGCTGTGAGACTGCAACGCCTCGCGTTTTCCACAGCGATGTCCACAAAAAGACACTGCTGCCTGCCATGCAAAGGCCTCAGGCCTGAGCATTCCGCAGGGTGAATTTAAAAATCGATCTCCACCCTCCTATCATTTTGGGCCTCTGGTTTGGTGTTTGCTTTCGCTTTGCTGGCCGACTGGAGGCGTGAGAAACACAGCACTATTAATGGAGTGAGCTGTCGCTTGCTTTACCGCCAGACTGGGCCAGACTGCTGCTTGCAAAAGTGATGTTTGGTAGTAAATTTCGCTTCTTTCGCTTGCCTGCATTTGGTCTGGCTGGTCTTTTTCCGCCCAAGTCTCGCTGCGTCCATCTTCGGCAAAGGCGGACAAAGTCAAATCCGTGACCCAGAATATGCCCTGCCGCAAGACCCTGATCTCAATGAAACCCACAAGCCGAAGGCAAGCCACGCACCCAAACAGCCCGTAGGTCTCCTTGGCAAACTTGCGGCATGCACCTCAGCTTGTGTAATTTTATGGACGGAATACGTCCGACGCTCTCGCCACGTGCTGACAGGGCACAGGTACTGGCGAACTCTTCGGGGACCTTCTTACGACCTCCGAAGTCATACCACCGGACACCCTTCTTCTTCCCGCTCTGCGGCTGCCAAAGAAGGACACGCGCTTGGCCTAAGTGGCTGCCGGTCATCTCAGACTGATTTGTTCAATGCTGCTGCGGTCCAAACAGCGGCACGTCACGGAGGCTGCTCTCAGCAGTTCTGCGGAGCACTTTTAAAAAGGCTCTGAAGCAGAACCGATGCTGTTGGCATCGTTAGCGCTCAGCAGCTCTGAAGGACTGAGATCTGTGCCATCTTCCAGCCTTGTCACTGGGAGAACTCCGGCTCCTGCAGTTGGACACGTCGGTATTCCTGTCCTGTACCAAACGCGATTTGAAACCTGTCCTCGGTAGGTGCTGACTTCGCCTTTCGCGGGTGTGCGGTACTTCTTGGGCATCTTCGCCTCTTACACGGCACATCGGCGCAGGTATCGTATGTTGCTAAACTCGAAGTCTGCTACGGACTAAGGACATGTTTTTAACTGAAGACGGCAAGGGTTTAGGAGCGTTTGCTGCATTTGATCATGGTCCTGTGGATACACTGCAGCAACACCACCGAAAGATAGATTTTCCATGGACTTGGAGGCCACCATTCCACCTCGGATGTCAACAGCGGACAAATCAAAATCCGTGTCCCTGCAACCCTGAAACCCCCCATCATCATTGCATCCTAGGCGCTGTCGTCATTTCGCTCCTGTAGGGCAACTGCCCTCCGATTATCGACCTGCGGTTCGCAAGGAGAGACCGAGAGACACTGACTTGCCCACTGCCTCCACCATCGCAGAGAGCTAGCAGCAAGGAGGTGAGCAAGGCTGCGGGCCAAAAAGGGCTTCGGCAGCACTTCGATAAGAAAGCCAACCCTCCGGGGCCCCGCTTGCCCCGACTCAATCGCATGTTATGAGAGGTGAATGCCTAAGCTCAGCACGGCCTCTCCAACCAAACCTGCAGGTCAGTCGCACTGTCTTTGTCCACTTGCACTTGCGATGTTCAAGACCAGCTGGGGCTTGTGCCGACATCAAATTTTTACGCCATGCATTGAAGCCTGCCATAGAGGCATAGCATAACCATGCCAAACCATGCCTTTGCTGCGCTTCCTCGTATCAATACAATTGATCCTAAGCGCAGTGGAGGGAAACAGCCAGTGGAGAATGCCTTCTGCCAAGCGTTTGGAGATCGCGTTCTGAAGCACGGCCTTCAGCCTCACGTGGAGGACGGCTGGCGGCTTGCACGAGCTTCTCTCAAGAGAGGTCCCGGCGCCAGTGCGGCTCGGCCTCTTCGAGGCTCTCGCTTCCTGCGACTCTTGCGAGACTGCCAGCAAAGCGACCGCGTCAGGTGTAAGCCGTGACCACTCCGCGAGCACTTTCTTCATCAGATCCTGGGCGATGACCCGCTCCGTTGCCTCGAGTCTTTGCCTGTCGTTGTGTTAGGGAGAGAGCGGCCTATGGCGAGAATAAGACATGCCGAAGAGCTGAAATACGTCTTGGCAAACTGGTGAAACTTCGTGAGGTCCACCTCCTGCTAAGCAACTCACCACAAAGCAAAAAAGCAGAAGGGCAAGGCTTCCAAGGCGTCCTCTTTCTTCTCGGCAAGCCAACGTGACATCCTCAGCAGGCTCCGGAGCCAAGGATTTTTGACAGGGATGCGAGTTCGCCACTCAAGCCCAAGCACCTTGCCATGCCGTACTGCCTTATCTCCTGCTTTTGCTAGCGGGATTGCTTGGGAGCAGCGATCAGGCTGCCTAGACTGCCATCGCCCTACGGTGCAACACAGGTAGAGTCTCACGCACCTGCAGTCGTCGTGCGATTTGCAAGAGCAGTGGCCCCATCTGGTTCGGATAATCCTTTGGAGCGACAGACTCCACCAGCCAAAGCCAAGATTTCGGTAGCTCGCTGCTACCGCATTCAGGCACGTGCCATTCTACGCCAGGTGCGACTTGGATCGTGCGTAGCGCAGAAACGCACGCAAGTCACATGCTACACGCTGCTAGACAGACTCAGTCACGGCACAAACTGGCACCGGGGTGCCGATGCCGGTCCGGAGCAGAGAGCACACCATGCGTTGCTTCTCAAGGCCGTGTGGAGTCCACAGGTCTCCATGTTGCAACATCTGACAAGCGTGCTTCTTGAAGTCTCTGCTGGATTACCTGTGTCGACCACACCTGTGATATGCCTGAGTGAAGGCACGGTGCCCTGTCAGCTAAAGATTACTGCTCGCTCGGCAGATTGCGCCGTTTGGAGCAAAGCAAGTGCATGCAAGTGCCTACTCAAGTGGCGGTCTATTACATCTATTACATCTAGTGGTCTAGTCATCGATGCCCAAGTGAGCGCACTCGCCATGCACTCTTATGCAGTTTTCAAAAAACGGCCATATGATGTGCTCTCACATCATGACGTCGGAACATGCTCAAATAACCTTGTAGTGCACTAGCAGTGCAAGCAGCCCCTGCACGAAACCGGTGATCATCATGATCACCTTAGCAGTCGATCGAGGAGTTTTCTGGTCTTGTGGGCCTGCGAATGTATCAGACTATGTGTGAAGGTGAAACCCTGTCATGTCGAGGTGCGCAGAGGACTCGCAACCAGTTGCCTCTTCTCCTTCTGCGAAATTTGCTGTTGGGGTCGTTTACATCACCACTGCCTTGCCAGCCGTGCAGCTGTATCGCGCGAAGCATCTCCCAAGAACAGAACGAGCGCTTGACCATGCACGTGGGTCTCGGCTCGGGCAAGCCGCATTTTCGCTTCATCTGGATGGGTTGGTTCAGCTGCAAGAAGAAGAGGGCCGGGAAGATGAACCTGGCCCCGCATGCGAACCCTAAACAACCTGCCTGTAGACTGACGCGGCTTGCCTTTCGAAGGCAGATTCCAAAAGCAAAAAGCATTTCCAAATACAGCTCGAGTTGCATGATGGAAACACCCAGCGTGGCACCTACCGATTGATGCCACACACTGGATGAAATCGTTGGGAGACCCATCACCCTGCCTTTGATCATCTTGATGACGGCTATGTCTTTGAAAGCTACGCCCATATACACGGAAAGCCCGAGAAGGGCAATCGTTGTCACGAGGAAATTGTCCTGCATGGCGGGGCAGCGACAATCTGCACTCGGCCGGTTCCAAAGCCAGGAGTCCTCCGGGCCCCTGTTTATCAGCGCATTGAATGACGAGCGCATTCTCCTCAGCTGCTCCCTCCCAGTTACTTGGCTTCGTATCTCGGCTCGGGCCCAATGCCGGATCCTGCCGCGCTGCAAATTCACATAGCACGTGCGTGCACTGCAAGATGCAGGGTCATCTCGCAGGCTATCTATGCTCAGGTCAGTTCTGAAATGCATGCGGGAAGTTGAAGACGGTGGACACCTCATGATGCACGATGACGGCACACGCAAGACAAGACACAATCCAAGGGTTGCAAATTCAAACCGATGAGTAACTTCATGCAAGAATCCATCATACAAAACCATGAAATCTGGATCATCGGATCGTCCGGGCTGTAACCTCGATTCACGGACAAGGCGCCTACAGGCCAACCAAGTGTGACGATCCATTCTGCAACCGAGTGGCTTTTGAGCACATTGCCAAGCACCTTCAGGATAAAAAGACACACGCACGGTTGTACATGAAGCACAAGCATCGCGAAATTCCAGGCTCACACAGTTCACTGCTTGGTGACATGCAAACACCTCGTCGCCAAAGCGAGCGAAGCCAGCGAGACCGAAAGCAGTGAAGAGCAGCGTGGCAATGCCGAAAGCCCAGAAGCTCACCTTGCCAGTTTTGCAGGGCTTCATTGTTTGGGTCGAGTGTGCTCTGGGATCGTAGGATCTGAAACAAACTTGGAAAATCAGCTGGCGAGCCCACCAAACAATAAAGGCAAATCGACAACACAAAACAGTATTCAAAAACAAGTGGAAGGGTATGTTGACAACAGCAACACCTCAAGCAAGCAAACACTGTGATGGTGGCGATCTCCTGCCACGAGTCCGCACAGCTATCATCATCACCACCATCAGTAGGACAATCACCACCACCACCACCACCACCACCACCACCACCACCACCAGAGCCACCAGTCCTGCCGGCAGAACTTGCGTAAACCAAGCCTCAGTGCAACGAGCAGCTGAGAACCATCTCATGATGGGACTCGCATTTTTGGCTTCAAGCTGTTCAGCTTCGTGCACACTCGAGCGCTTGTAGACGGTCATGGCGGCTGGAGGAGGGAGCGGTGGCGCACTTCTACATGTGGAGCTCTACGACGAAGAACACGTCAGTGCTTTGTATGCTCATGTGCGGCAGAAGCATCGAGATTTTGAATGGGAAAACCTTGTCCGACCATCACCACCAGTGCTTGACTGCCCTACTGCGGAGTAGCAGGTCACAGTCCAACCGGGCCAATCTGTCCTTCCTGCTGCTTGCCTGTTTGTCCTCTCACGACTGGAAGACAAAGCCATTCATATACCACCGGCCCGGCGTAGTCCACAACGGATGCTTTAATCTCTGCCGAAAGGTGTCCCCTGACCTCTGACACAAAGCCCCAGGGTGCCAAAGGAGATGGCCGTCGCCCTGATGTCGACGAGTATTTCGGTGCTAGCGTGGGCTGTTCCTCAAAGAATTGTGGTTTATGCCTGAGGGTAGTTCTTCCGTTTTCTGTCGTGTCTTGCATGGTCTCCTTGTATCTGATCATATCCGATCGTGCAATGAAGAGCTTGCTTACCCGCAATGCCGCCTTCCTGCCCACAATGCACCGAATGGGGACACGTTGAGCATGGGCCCCATGCTAGGTAATGCCGCAAAGTCTCCCTCATGTAATTCAGGAAGGTTTTTTCCTTCCTTAGCTGTCATGGCTGGTGCTGGTATGAGCAACCGGACTGCACAAACTCAGACGGTGCACCCCAAGCTAGCGCTTTACGAAGGAACTATACAAGCACTTGCACGAATATGAGGGGCCAAATTCCTTGCCCAGACACAACTCGGCATAGTAGGTCGGGGCGTTATAATGCGCTGAGAATGATCCGTTGAACAAGGCTAGCGTCTTGAACATGTCCAGCTTGACCTCGGAAGGTGAAGCAACCATGTCACGAGCAGCTCTCATTCATCAAAGGGTAGGCTCGATGAAAAGATGTCATGTGGCTCAAGCACACAACATGAAGAACGACAGTGAGACGAAAAGAAGCAACGGCCCTGCATGCACATCAATCTGGGACATGCTTGCCTCACATCAGCCAAATGGCATACCACATGTGGTCTTGCAGAGTCTCTACCGCGTGATATTCCTCCTGAGCTGGCAAGCAGAAAGCGACGCGGGCGATGCGCGCCTGGCTCCAGACTCTAGCGAAAAAAACTGTTGTGGCATGCAGGATGCGGCGTTGGCGACAACATCATAGAAAATGTAGGCCTGAGATCCACGGATGCATCGAGGGGAGATGTGCATGAATCACAAGAAGCTCGGAGAAGCAGACAGTGTAAGAAGCCGACGCAGGAGATAGCCGTAATGAACAACCCAACGACTGATGTGTACTTGAGCGGCTCCAAGTTCTGACATGAAACGACACCCTCGTGGTTCTGCAATCATGCGCATCTGCAGCCTCTCCCATACTCTGCAAACCAACACAAGCTTAACAAACTGCAGTGATGCCTTGTACAAGCAGAGCGGGAAAATGCCAAAGAGACTGATAACCTCGCCACACGCTGTAGAGTCTGTAGAGTATTTCGATGATCATGCGCAGGCTTCACACTGCAAACATGGACAAACGCCATTACGCCTGTAAGCAGCTCTGGTGCGATACTGGTTTTAACTGGGAGAGTGATCCCAATTCGCACTGTTCACCAAGAAACGAGAATGGAGGATTCTCGACGTCGTGCAAAAATCGAATCCGGCATCAAGCCAGATGCGCTCTTTGTGCAGAAGTCCCCGATCATGGTGACATACCCTACCTTGGAGCTGAGCATTAACGAGTTCAACGAGGTATTCCCGCGCCGCACTTGTCTCTCTGTGCACTGGCCAGGCCACACAGCTGAAGAGAGTATGGAAGAACAGAACCACATCGACTGTCCTTGCAACTGACCGAGCTGGCTTCAAGCACACCGGTAGCATAGCGGATCCCTGCTGGACCAAGGATCTTTTCGGTGTTCTGGCCCATGGCAGACCGCCAAAGCTCGCGGAAGGTCTTTGCCTCACCGGCGGCGGCTGCAACGCTCCCTCCACGGCAAAAAACATCTGAGGCAGTTGCTTGAGTCTTGGAGCAGCAATAGCCGATCAGCAAGAATCCTGAACACACTCCAAGGATCTTCTTTGCAAAAGAGTTTCAAAGCCCACACTTTCGGAGCATCGCGAGAGTCCTCCGGTACATACGAAGGCAGAGAAGAGCATGATCACTAGCCCTCCAAGAACGGAAGCATACTGGAAGGCCACACAGACCTGAACCGATCGAGTTTCGAGCTCATCGACAAAATGGTCTTCTTTGGCACTTAAGTACAGAGTTACGGCATTCATGAGCAGCTCAAGCTGTGCCGCATGCAAATGCCAAGCTTGGGCATCTTGCGAGAGTTGGACGTGCTTTCACATCGTTCACGGCAGAGACAGCCAATGAGCTGTTCATCGTGACAGTGTTGACAAGAATACTGACAGGAGATACATCTTGACGATTGAACATGTTGTTTCCATGGGCAGGTTGATCGCGCACCTTCCTGCCAGCCCCCTTTGCGAGTGGCATGCTGCTGGGCACCCCTGCATTCAGAAGACCGGCACCGACCATGTTCTTCAACAGGTTGATAACCTGAACGGGAAAGGGTCGTCTTGAGGGGCAAGCGGTTGCATTCTCCTTGAGGGCAGCACCGTAGCCGTCACAGTGGATCCAACTTCCGTGGACTGGCCGTGAGAAGTGCAGGGGCCATGAACCCTCTGGAATTGTCTTACGTCGACACATTGCACGTGTTGCCACCGTGGCCTTGTTGCCATTCTTCCCCAGTAGAGGCTTTGTTATATCCGCTGTCATGGCGCGGCTGACGCGCAGCGCGCGACTCCCGACTCCCTACTTGCTCCTGACCCAAACAGCGTGGCATAAAGGAACTGCGTCTGAGCAAACTAAGAGGGTGGAACCTCATCATGCACAGCTCAAATGCTTCCACCATCCATGGGCCAATGCAGTGAGTTACCTTCAAGCCTTCGGCGTTGGCACAGTAGCTGTAAGCTCCACACGACACCTGAAATGCGATGACCTCCCGCCATTCTGCAGCAGTCTCCTACGGAAGCACGCTAACGCGTTGAGTAGTGAGGCAGCAGCAACCCAGAACATCCCCAATCCAACGAGAGCTGGTCCCTACAAGAGGTACAGCAGCAGGCTCCCACCGTGTTCTCTTCGCGCGCAAGGTGACAACAAGTGCTGTCGGAATGCTGGGGCACTGCGAAATCCAAAGGATGCAGGGAGGTGACAGTCCCTTCCTGCTTCAGTGGTTTGATGGTGTCCTGCATCCTGCAACTGCCATGGAATGACGAGCCGCGGGGCCATGATCCACTTGCTGCTTCTATGCCGCGGCTATGACAGATGCAGATGTCGGAGCTTACGACCAGCGTGGCCTGATCGGACAGTCATGCGTGCAGCACTGGACTCCGCAACAGGAAGCCCATCCAACCACCCACCCACCCAGGTGTCGCTCGTTTGGAAGCCTAGGCTGTCGATACCTGACAACCCCTTTGCCCATCAGCAGTCCTTGGTAGCCTGTGAAGGCCATGGCTCACCTTTGTCGAGCCTTAGACTTCTGAGTATCGTTCCAGACTCAATGCGCGATGAAAAGATGTACTGCCTAAAGCAGTTTGCTGCTGGCACCGCTGTCCCACATCGCGATGGCGCAACACCACCGCAAGCTAGATTCTTCTTACGACTGACCTGAGGCTCTGTCAAGGCCGCGAGACCCTGCTGAAACCTGGCCCACACAGTCACAGACTGCAAGGATGCATTCTGACCGCCGCTCAGGCCGGGATCTGCAACTGGCCAGTGCAGCTCAAAGGCTTATTGCACAAAAGTTTAAAAGCCTGCTTAGAACTGGAGCTTTACATCTCAATTGAACGTTCGACGTGGCAGCCAAGGTTCGACACGGGCCGCGACAGTCGTGCAGGTCCTGTCGTTGCCTGGTTTAGCGAGAGTACTCTCAGAGTTTCGACACCGCCAAACATCTAAGGACTGATCAAGGCAGCGGCTTGGATGGCCAGTGGCCTTGGCTTTGCCGTCGCCCTCACCCTTGAACCGCCCTCTCGTCAGCAGAACCATGACACTATCATCGTACTTTTCTCTAGCGCGTCATCGTACTTTTCCCCACTGTGCTCGGCAGGTCCATTAACTCGGCTAATCGGCAGCCACTTCGTTTTGAGTTTCGGAATTCGTCTCAGCTTCTAGTCCTGCCAGGCAGATTAATTCCAAGCCTGTGCGATACTGCGATACGCTGGTCCGCGGGACTTCACAGTCCTTGCTGCCGTTAGAAAGGAGCGGCGCCTGCAAGGAATCGCACGCCTGCTCCAAGGCGGTGAGGACCTGGTCCGGGTCCCATCATCCGAGCTCTGGCCAAGCTTTGTGCACTGTGCCTGCTGTGCCCTGCCTTCTCTCGGTCATCATGCAACTTCAGGATGGCCTCCTGGCAGCAAAATAAAGCTCAGCAAGGCTACTGGCTACTGTGATACCGATTGGGGCTGGGTGGCAATGTGCTCCGCTCGCTCCGCAATGTAGTGCCAGCGTCTGAGCGGAGAGGACAAGATGTGGCCAACTTCAATACTTTACTAGTCACAGCAGTGCACCAATGCCGGTCTCAGCCCAAGAGGCAGGGCCACGAGAAGCACCATGCCGGCCAAGAGCAATGCAACAAGGGCGGCGACCGAAACCAGGACCTCCAAAGCCATGTGGCATTCGCAACATACAACACGCTGCAGCACAGCTAGAACATGCTAGAATCTGCTACAGAGATGCAGCATGGAGCATACATGTTCCTATGAGGGCTCCCCTCAACATGTAGAGTTCGGGATAGCGACTGGTCGAGATTGGTCATTTGCGCGGCAGGTAGCAGTAGGAAGAACAAGCATGCGACTTGAATACGTCTCCGGGAGACGGAAACCGAGTTTCGCATCCGAAACGATGAGCAGGCATGAGGGGCGAGCGATCACTATGGCTCCGAGACACCTGCTGTCGGCCACCATTTAGCTGACGTCGCAGTGCCTAGCATCACAAATGACACAAACCGAGATCTCCCAGGCTTGGATGCAGGACCCAGGACCTGTGCCGTGTGTTTGGCATTCTGCTCTGCTTTCGCGTGGCGTTCAGCTTCCTTTGCTTCTCTCTCCTCGGCAGCCTGAGATTCAACCTCACGTCTCTTTGCCGCATCAACTGCTTGCTGCGCCCGAGAAGATTCCTCCTCTATCGCTCTTTGTTTGGCGATGGCCTCTGCTGCGACTCGCCGCTGCTCTCTCACAGCGAGGCTTGCTGTGGTATGCTGATTTTGCAACTCCGATTGCAAATCCCTGCGCTGTTTGGTCCAGGTCTTGGCCTCCTCTTCATGTTCCCGCTTCGTTGCTTGCAACTTGCTCTGAAGCTCTTCAAGCTTCTGTTCGAGCTGCGAATTCGTGAGATCATTCCGATAGGCCTGTCTTTGGGATTCCTTGACATCCAGCTTATGCAGGGTTTTGTTCAGATTGTTCAGCTGTGCCTGCAATTCCTGCGTCCGCCGTCTCCACCGGCTCAAATCTGCAAGGGCAGAGGCGCGGCTCGCAGAGGCTTGCTGTGCCTGTGCCGAGGCCGTAGCTGCACGGGCATTTGCCTGATCATGATTGCAGGACCCATGCCAAGGTGTTGAAAGCACAGCTTGGTTTTCCCCTTACACCACGGTAGAAAGCAACCCTGTGGGAAGTCTGGACAAAGTCTAGCTGAGCAACAGACGGCAGCTGCAAGAAATCATGGACAACCAACACAGCAAACGGAACGGCAGGCCTCTCTTGCATTGGCGTCGGCTGCCCGCTTTTGCTGCGCCAGTGCTGCTTCCCGACTCTGTTCTTCAGCTTCTCTGCTCTTCGTTTGGTTAAGCCTCACTTGGCTGCGGTGGAGCTGCTGCTGCAGCTCATGCTCGTCACTCCGATCTCTCGCCATCTCCTTCTGCAATGTGCTTCGCAAGTCGGCAGCTCTGTGGCTCAGAGCCGCCTCCTGCTCCTGCGCTTGGTGCAGACGCGACTCTGCTGTTGTCTGGTTCCGACGAGCGCCGTCGGCAATTGCTCGTGCTTGCTCCAGCGCCGATTGCAGCCTTGAGATGCGGGCTGAGGCATTCCTCTGCGATACCACAGCTTGTTGCCGCACTTGCCGCACCAATTGCTCCTCCTGCACCAGCTGTGCCACATCGCGCTTAGCCGACGCAGTTTTGTTCGTCAATTGAGCCTTCATGTGTTCCACATTGTGCTTCAAGGTTGCTTCCCGACCCTGTTCTTCAGCTTCTCTGCTCTTCGTTTGGTTAAGCCTCACTTGGCTGCGGTGGAGCTGCTGCTGTAGCTCATGCTCGTCACTCCGATCTTTCGCCAGCTCCTTCTGCAATGTGCTTCGCAAGTCGGCAGCTCTGTGGCTCAGAGCCGCCTCCTGCTCCTGCGCTTGGTGCAGACGCGACTCTGCTGTTGTCTGGTTCCGACGAGCGCCGTCGGCAATTGCGCGTGCTTGCTCCAGCGCCGATTGCAGCCTTGAGATGCGGGCTGAGGCATTCCTCTGCGATACCACAGCTTGTTGCCGCACTTGCCGCACCACTTGCTCCTCCTGCACCAGCTGTGCCACATCGCGCTTAGCCGACGCAGTTTTGTTCGTCAATTGAGCCTTCATGTGTTCCACATTGTGCTTCAAGGTTGCTTCCCGACCCTGTTCTTCAGCTTCTCTGCTCTTCGTTTGGTTAAGCCTCACTTGGCTGCGGTGGAGCTGCTGCTGTAGCTCATGCTCGTCACTCCGATCTCTCGCCATCTCCTTCTGCAATGTGCTTCGCAAGTCGGCAGCTCTGTGGCTCAGAGCCGCCTCCTGCTCCTGCGCTTGGTGCAGACGCGACTCTGCTGTTGTCTGGTTCCGACGAGCGCCGTCGGCAATTGCGCGTGCTTGCTCCAGCGCCGATTGCAGCCTTGAGATGCGGGCTGAGGCATTCCTCTGCGATACCACAGCTTGTTGCCGCACTTGCCGCACCAATTGCTCCTCCTGCACCAGCTGTGCCACATCGCGCCTGGCCGACGCAGCTTTGTTCGTCAACTGGTGCTTCATGTGCTCCACATCGTGCTTCAAGGTTGCTTGCCGACTCTGTTCTTCAGCTTCTCTGCTTTTCGTTTGGTTAAGCCTCACTTGGCTGCGGTGGAGCTGCTGCTGTAGCTCATGCTCGTCACTCCGATCTTTCGCCATCTCCTTCTGCAATGTGCTTCGCAAGTCGGCAGCTCTGTGGCTCAGAGCCGCCTCCTGCTCCTGCGCTTGGTGCAGACGCGACTCTGCTGTTGTCTGGTTCCGACGAGCGCCGTCGGCAATTGCGCGTGCTTGCTCCAGCGCCGATTGCAGCCTTGAGATGCGGGCTGAGGCATTTCCCTGCGATACCACAGCTTGTTGTCGCACTTGCCGCACCAATTGCTCCTCCTGCACCAGCTGTGCCACATCGCGCTTAGCCGACGCAGTTTTGTTCGTCAATTGAGCCTTCATGTGTTCCACATTGTGCTTCAAGGTTGCTTCCCGACCCTGTTCTTCAGCTTCTCTGCTCTTCGTTTGGTTAAGCCGCACTTGGCTGCGGTGGAGCTGCTGCTGTAGCTCATGCTCGTCACTCCGATCTCTCGCCATCTCCTTCTGCAATGTGCTTCGCAAGTCGGCAGCTCTGTGGCTCAGAGCCGCCTCCTGCTCCTGCGCTTGGTGCAGACGCGACTCTGCTGTTGTCTGGTTCCGACGAGCGCCGTCGGCAATTGCGCGTGCTTGCTCCAGCGCCGATTGCAGCCTTGAGATGCGGGCTGAGGCATTTCCCTGCGATACCACAGCTTGTTGTCGCACTTGCCGCAGCAATTGCTCCTCCTGCACCAGTTGTGCCACATCGCGCTTAGCCGACGCAGTTTTGTTCGTCAACTGATGCTTCATGTGTTCCACATCCTGCTTCAAGGTTGCTTCCCGACTCTGTTCTTCAGCTTCTCTGCTCTTCGTTTGGTTAAGCCTCACTTGGCTGCGGTGGAGCTGCTGCTGTAGCTCATGCTCGTCACTCCGATCTTTCGCCATCTCCTTCTGCAATGTGCTTCGCAAGTCGGCAGCTCTGTGGCTCAGAGCCGCCTCCTGCTCCTGCGCTTGGTGCAGACGCGACTCTGCTGTTGTATGGTTCCGACGAGCGCCGTCGGCAATTGCGCGTGCTTGCTCCAGCGCCGATTGCAGCCTTGAGATGCGGGCTGAGGCATTCCTCTGCGATACCAATGCTTGCTGCTGCACTTGCTGTGCCAATTGCTCCTCTTGCACCACCTTTGCCAACTGAAGCTTTAAGCGTGCCACCTCTTCTTGCAAGTCGGCGGCTTGCTGTTGATGCAGGGAGTCCTGCCGTTCCGCCTCCCCAGTTCTGGCCAGCGCTTCGCGTAGTTCTTCACGAAGGCGAGACTCCTGTTCTGCCGCCTCTTGACTATGCCGCTGCAACGCCTCCTGCTGCCCTGTTTCGTTGCCTCTCGTCGCGGCACTCCGCTCTGCAGTGCCGTTGCCAGCAAGGCTTGCTGGCTGAGTCCTTCACAAAGATGCACGGAAGGAAAAAATCACAAGCCAGCCACCAGCCACTGCCTCTGCAGCGCCACTCCCGGATCCAAGGACCTGGGCAGTCAGAGATTCCGAATCTCTGGTACTACGGCTGTAGTCTGCTCAGGTGCCCAGCGCAAGCGCAGTGTTGAAAAGGCCTGTTCCAGATCCGACCTGAGACGGCGCTGAGTGCACAAGTCGACCCGGTGACGCCATCCGAGCCTCAGCTTCGGCCCAGGAAGCGGACCAAAGCAGGACCTGCCGCTAACAACAGTCAGACGCTTCACAGTCAGCACTCCCGAGGCCTGTATGAGCCCTCGGGAAACAAGCATCAGCCTTCAGCATGGGTGGAACTAGCGTCTCCAAGGCAAGAGGCCAAGCGCAGTCGAACTTACGATTTCGCGGCCTAGTGACTCCATTCACCTGCCTCTTAGCAAATCCTAGGACGTATCGAAAGTCTGCTGTCATTCTTGGGTTGGGGGCCCCTCATGCATTGTTGCCGCGAGCGGAACACAGCCCAAGACTGCTTGCATCAAACAAACTCGATTCTCGGCAATGGCATTCCAAGGCACGGAACTCACGACCGCGTCAACGGCAGGCACCACCCGCAACCATGTTGCCAGTGTTGTGTTCATGCGACAGAAAAGCTCTTCCTGCTTCTACTAGGATCTACTGATTGCATCTAGCCATCACCTACTGTGGCCGCCAGGTGTTTCTGAGCATGTCAGATGCAGACATTGCCCGAGAAATACCCTATGCTGAATCTGGACCGCTTCGAGCCGTTAAAGAGGCTTGGACTTCACAAGCCCGTGCATCGGAAGCATCCATGCGAAGAGTCAGGACAGCGAGCATCTCACAGTTTTGTGCTTGAGAAACGATGCATGGCCTGCACGGCCGGGCTAACATTCCAGGCCCTTTGGCCATGGATCTGCCAAGTTGTCCCTAGGACCTGTTGCAATCTCCTGCGTCGCGAAAAAGCGGCTCCGTGGGTAGTCAGCTCAAGTCGAAGCCACTCTCGGAACGAATGGCTTGAAGTAACTTGTCCCTCAGCATTTGCTGACTGGTATACGCCTTGGCACAAGGTCGAATGCGTTGCTTCCGGACCGTCGTTAGTTTGAGGGTGTCTTTGAACTTGCGGCTCGGGTGGGCACTGGCAGCTTCAATAGATTTGCACACGTCGATGCCTGCGCAGAGGCGAAGTGGAAGTGCACAGCTGGGAAAGGACGAATCCGAATTCTGCTGAGACACCGTTGGCAAACGAGACCTCAGCAGCAAAGTGTTTGCGAGCCGACGAAATTCCACTTTCAAAAGAAGGCCCCCGCGGGTCGTCGACCTTGTGGATGCAGAACTTGGGCTCGAAGCTCTTGAAACCTGAGGGGAAATGACAGCAAGATAAGCACCTAAGACCGCCCTAAACCTGTGGCCTTCTTGCCCAAACCCTGATACGAGCGCAGGTGCCCAGAAGGGGTGGTCGGCTGCATGACGTGGCGAACATCAGGAAGCTGCCCATGTCCTGGCAAGGTGCTCTCTGGACTGCGACAACGCGGCAAAGCGACGAGGCAGCATCATCCTCTGAGTCCAGTCCATTCTCCAGCAAGTCCCACAGCCACTGAATCACCGGACTGCGATCCTGAGGGCGATCGCTCATTGCTCAGCCTAAAGACTTCTGCTCGAATTACCACTTCCGGACTCTGGCACGTCTCTGCCCCATTTAGCAACTCGGTCCGTGAATCCACCATTGTAGACCGTGTTGTGTTTTAGATCTGCCACGTCAAATCCAGCAGAAGACCCGGAGATGATGATCCCAAGCTCGCGCGCGTCGAACATGCGGAGCCACTTCAAGTCTAGAACACACCTGGGACTTCTGCCAAGAGCAAAGTGGCACGAAGTAAATTCCTTCCGAAACGACTACATCTTCGATCTTTGCTCGGACACCACATGGCATCTCCTAAAGGAGTGTGAGAAGCCTGGCAGTCTAGCGGCTTACCAAATGCAGGAGAGTCACTTTAACCCTTCCAGGAAGAAATGTGTTTGAAGTGCCATCTGCGCAGTAACGCGGTGATCCATCAACAGCTGCACATAGGAGTCCACGTTGTCCTCACCGGACTTGATTTCCAAACGTCCGACAACCTAAGCCATCCCGAGCCTGGGTCACAGCCCGGAATCTCCCGCGCTGGCAGAGGTCTGCCTGCCAGGCATTTCGCACCAGAGTTGCAACTCGGGGAGCCACACTCCCAGACACGAACATGACGGGACCGAGTACCACTTGGAGTATGGCTGTCGGCCATGGCAAAGCACAAGGATGAACTACCAAAAGCAAAAACCTACGAGGTTGCGCGCAAGATCCCAGTGAGATCGATCATGCGCTCAAGCAAAAGCCGAATCCTGAAATCCACAAGCACTTCTAAGCACCCTCATGCCTCCTGAATCGCGCCACCCGGCATGGACACGGCAGTGCTGAATGTGAGGCCGAGCTCCTCACCGGTCTCTCACTACTCAGCACTACTTGGGGACTGCCGGAGGTCTGTGGAGATGTGAGGCTCGGCCAGGGTTGCACGAGCCACAGCCACATGGTCACAGAATGCGGCAGCGACAGATGGTCGTGTCTGGACATGGGCTGCATGCGAGGTGGTACGAGAAACGCTTGCGATGCAACTAATTAGCCGTCCAGAAACTGCTATCGATGCGCAAGAAACCCTTCTGTGCCCTGCTCCGAAAGAATGCCCCAGCAGCTTCCTTGATGTTCTTGGTCTGGCCTGGTGTCAAGATGATACACAGAATGAGAGATCGCAGCTCTCGCAGCAGTGAGCTTGCCATAACTGATCCGAGGTACGCAACTGAGCGATGTTACGGGCAGCCTCGCGATCCATACTGGCCAGGTCCTATGGCCAACGCTCTTCCACCCCCAACGGCCAAAGCATCATAAGAAGCTTTCTGAACTCCTCGGCATCTCCCATCTTGTCAAGTATTCTGTTAAGGAAAGCTCTGCTGAGCTGGTGTTCCAGTAGCATTTGCTCATAGATCGCTTTCCCAATCACCTGTTTTCTGGCATCACGGCTTTCAAGATCTCTCAAGGCTCATAGGTCGGCTACGTTGCAGCCCGGCCTTGCCCAAGAATGTGTACAGCTTCGGCGCATTCGGCTGCAGCATGTGGGCCGTTGGGAATGGGTAAAGCGTCTGGTCGCTGCTCGCACTGAACAAACCATACTCGGGGCTCATAGCCGCACGGCAGACAAGAATCCTCGGATCTCGTGAAGGCCCGACTCCACTACAGCTTGACTGCAGAAGCTAAAAGCTGTTGAATTTGTGTGAGGGTGAAGACTTCCGATGCGAGCGGGCTTGTGTCATCATCTGCATCCCCTTCCTGCAAGTCATGCTGCTGCGATATGATTGCGATATGGATACGCACAATGAGGATAAGCTCGGGAGTAAGTCGTTACAGCAGTTTAATCTCAATGACGCAATCGCGATGCCGCTGTCTGCTGTGCAAGCTGGCACCATGACATGATATGTGCTTGCTTCAAGTCCTAACCTGTGATGAAATCGATTCACACCGGTACGGTATGCATCAGCGCGCACGCATTATGAAGGACCAGCCGAAAAGCATGAACTCTTTGAACAAACCGCCACCGTCGATGCCACTCTCCAGGCTGCCATCTGCTGCAACGAACCTCGAGGCAAATGCTGCTAAAGCCAGGCAAGCAATGCCACTATGACAGTGCCTCCACAAGCCTACATCAAGCATTGCGTCGGCAACTGAAGGCTCCTGTAGGTCAAAGGGGCCCCAGATTGCGTCACATGAACGCAAAATCTCAAGAGGCACGTTGGCAACTTGAGGTAAAAGCACAAAGAATACGGCAAGTACTCGCATTAAACACACCACCAACACTCGAAGAGAACGAAGAGACATACGGTACAGACAAAAAGGAGAGCAAAAATCTACTGCAAGGGAGCACAGAACACTGCCAGCCTTCGACACAACGAACCCCAGCAAAACCCAAAAAATGTGCGCTGCGCACCCGCGTGAATCACTCTCTCCGGGGGATTAACAGTTAGAGCTGACAGTCGAGCGTTCCACCCGCCCCGCCGCAAAGCGCCAGAACAGGATACCAGGTAGATCTCCAATGCACACGACTCATGGAACCGAACACATTCCGTCGACTTGTCCTTCGGGCACTGTGGCAAAAAGTCAGGGATGCCAAGTACGTCATGGAAGGCTATGCCGGGGCATCCACATGTACGATGGCTGCAAGTGGGTCGCCTCGTCGACAGCGACAAAGGTATTTTCAGGCCGACTTAACATGGTGCGGCATGATGCGATCAAAAGCAGCTCGATCTGGCGGGGCGGGCTGGCAGAATGCAAATTCCCGAAAAAGGCAGTTGTTGTCGTGCAGCGGGCTTTGGACTGTGTTGATGGCGATGCTGGCGCTCACCATCGTGAAGTGACAGTTGCCGCTGCACAGGTGCCATTGTGCTTGTGCGGCTGTCGTGCGGCCCTCTACTCTGCAATTGATTTTAAAAGCGAAACAACACGCTCAACTCCACACCGCCGTGCTCACGCATCAGGACAGCGAGCTGATCGTCATGACGGCAGGGCGGAGCTGATCGAAGCCGCTGGGCAAGTCATGCTTTCGGCGAAACCATGTAGGTCGCATGCGAGTCACCGGCGTCCACGCAGAGCTACAACGTTACACATGCAGTACATCATGCACATCTATCCCTGCTTGGTGGCGGTGGTGACTGGTAGCCTGCTTTTGATTGTGATTATAGTCCATGCTCTGTGGAGTTCGGACTTCCCGATTGTTGGAAATTGCTTCCAATGCCATCTTACAAGTACAACCCCTTCATCTGCACACATGGCAGGCGCACGAAGTCGTTTTGTAAGTGTCCAGGGCTCAGCTCTCTCTCCTTCTTCGTTCCAAAGCGGTCAGGTTCGCGCGAGCGGACCCGTGCCAAGGCGGCCCCCCTCTCACACTCTCTTTCACACACTCTTTGTCATGCTTGCTTGCTTGCTCAACGTGTGGAATGCAAGTTGAGTCCTTGCACTCCTCCGCTCTTGCGCCACGCTGTGGTTTTGTCTTCTCTTCACTTCACTTCCCTTTCTTTCCCCAGGCCTGAGGGCAAGCCCCCGCGGGAGCTGCCCGACTTCACTTCTCTCTCTCTCTCTCGCTCTCTGCTTTGCTCGGGGGCATGAGCGAAGGGCAGTCCCCTTGACTCCTTACTCACGCGTCAGCGCAACCCCATCCATCATTGGGACAGATGGGCTCAGCTGTAAGAGAGCAAAGGAGCTGGTGCCCATGCTGTACGTGGAGTTCGGTGCTCTGATATTGGGTCCCCGTTCAGAGGGTCACAAAAGCTTCAGCCCGGACTTCAGCCCCAGCGGGAAATCCATGCCTGAATTATCGGCCCTCACCTCTGATGACGGTTGGGGCACACCACATTGAGTAATAGTGAAGCAAATGCAAGCCAACTTCGGTTTTGCTATCATGGCAGGCACTCGGATACTACGTCTGTGTGGCCTATAAGGCATCTATAAGGCCATCAGTGAGTCACTGTAGAAGGTCGGTTCTCGGAAAAGGATTGTTTTACTGTGATGTCACAGGTGCCTTTTTCCTCACTTTCCGAGAATTCACCGACCGCGGTCCGGCCCCTCAGTAGATTTGGTGTCCGCTCGTAGTCTTGTGCCCCTTGTCCTAGTCACCTGTGTCGCTCTTTGGCCAAGTGGGCACCTGAGCTGGTGGCTCAGCTTCCCTTGTGTCTCCATGGGCCCGCCCACCATCTGATGATCTCATTCACGGTCCCCCTGCCACTGTCACGATCACTGGCTTCATGGTGTCCTCTGCCCAGTGGGCCCAGTGGCATAGGTCCTTCGCTTGCACGTCCACGGTGTGCCCCTGGTTCAGCTGGTGCACCCGGATTTCCGCAAACACGTGGCATGTGCCTCCCCCTATTTTTGGGCCACCCACTTCAATGAAACGGGGCCGATTTCAGGTTTGGACTTCGCGAGGCTCACTTGTTCACAGAGTACAGCCCGTTTCTTAATCGCCAAAATGCTACTGCGAAGCTGCGAAGAACATACGGTCCGGTGTTTTTAAAGTGTAGGGCGTACAGGATGTAGTCCTGGTTTAGAGGATTTGGGGACTGATCAATATGACCCTGTGTCCCAGTCGGGATAAAGGTGGCCCTAAGGCATAGTATACTAATCGGACCCCTTCGGCAATCCTTATTCATGATCGGGCTGATCTAAGAGCTCGGCACCCTGCCTGCGGCTTCGGCGTAACACTCAAGTCTATACCCCCCCTCGAAGGGACGTCCACCCAATACACCTGCAGGGCGGCCCTCGAGCGCCCCCCCCCCCCAAAGGGAAGCGGCGGTCGACTTGAGCCAAAATGGCTACGGCTCTCTCTCTCTCTCTCTCTCTCCCGGGCATGAGGGCGGGTCAACGCCCTCGGGCCAATGGCCCCCCCGTTGTTTTAACGGGTGTGAGGGGTGAAGAACGAGTCGTGAATACAGTTTCGGCTAAAGCCATAAAGATTGCGATAACGGCAACTGTAATCCTCGACTCTCAGTCCCACACATGCAAGGTCATCTCTCTTTTCCCCTTATAAATGACAAAGATAATGTAAGAGGTTCGTTTAGAGAGATGACGTCGGGAGGTACAGTATTCCCCCCATGATGCCGATACAGTCTCTACAAACGAAGGCCGGGTATAATAGGAAATAAAATAACCGCTCTCTCTCTCTCTCTCTCTCTTTTTCTTGCTTGCTTGCTAACTGGTGTGGGCTCCTGGGAAACCCTCCTTTCTTTCTTTCGCCAGGCTTGAGGGGCGAGCCCCCCGCTAGGGGCCGCCTGCTGGTGGCTGGTGGTTGAGTGCAAACCCTCCTTTCTCTCTTTTTTCTTTCTGCTGGGCTTAGGGGTCCCGCAAGACCCTCCGGCCTTAGGCCCGCCCAACCCTCACACTGTATTAGTGAGTGGTTGGCATTGGGGTCTTTCCAGATTAAGGCAGGGAACTACAAAATATGCTCCAGGTTTTCATGCAGCGATCCCCACCTAGAACACTAAAACCCCCGCATCCCGGCCTCATCTCCGGGCCCCTACGGCTAACCAATGTTCGCGTACCTAGGTCCTTCTAAGCAGGTTTCGCTGCACTGTGTTTGGAGCTGCCGCAGTGGGTAAAAGGAAAAGGCCGGTCGAAATTCTCCCCCTTGTCAGGTGTTCAAAACAAAACAACACCCCCACAAAAAAGACGCACTAGTCCCGAAAGCCACATTACTCGACAAAGGGAGCTTGTTGAATTAAATCCCCCCTGCAGTGGAGCAGGCGGGCCGAATTAGCGGCAGTAGGGCGGAAACGTCATCGTCTTTCGACGGAGTGCAGTGAATTGTGTCAGGCGGACAGAAAGCCGTCGTGTAGCGACGGGTGGTGTAAAAATCGCCAAGTCATGGCAGAGTTCTGCAGAAGTTGACGAGTATGGTACACAGGGCGTGCTAGCGTGCAATCCCCCGGCTGGGTTTCAAAAGGTGGCGGCTTAATCGAGCAGCCTGGTAAGCTGTACGTCCCCCTGGAAAGGGTTTAAGGAGAAACGCGGGAACCAGGGTACAGGGCAGCCAGACTGAACAACAAACCGAACAAACATCACGAAACTGCCCTCCCCCCAGTTCCCTGTCCCTCGCACACTGGACTTTTTACATATCATGGCGCTCACTGCTCTCACGGCTGCTCTGCATATGTTCTTGTACTTCACGAACTTGCCGCCACATGTTCGGCCGGAGGCGCACTCGTTGCTCCCCTCCGTGTCGCCGTGGGCTGCGGCTGGGTGTGCGCGGTCGCTGTTGTCCCAAGCGTCTTGCCCCCATCATGGTAGCATCCCCTCGTCGTCTTGGGCTGCGGCTGGGAGTGCGCGGTCTCTCTTGTCCCAAGCGCCTTCCCCCCACGTCGGTTCCAGTGGTTGTTGCACCGGCACTTGAACTCGGCTCCTCCCCCTTGCCATGGCTCGTGGCAGCGTTGTCTTCATCCTGCTGCCTGTCCCCCCCATCAGGGAGGTGTGGCTGTGTGCTCGTAGTGGCCGAGTCTGTGCTCCCCCAGTCGACATCCTCAAAGTCGTGCTCCTTGCCAAGTCGGCGTCCGTGGCTGCATCTTCTCCCTCTTGGCTTCGTGTTGTAGTCGGCTGTTTGGCTGTCGTCTTCTTTTCTCCCCCTTGGCTTCGTGGCGTAGTCGACTGCTTGGCTGCCTTCTTCTTGGCTTTCTGTTGTCGTCGCATCTTCCTTCGGATCTGACGCGCCTTTGTAAGCAGTGCCCCGGCCTTTTGCGGAAAGCGGATCAGGTGGGCCCGCGTCTCGTCAGCGAGGGCGGGCAGGTACTTGTCCACTATTTCAGTGACCCTGTCCGCTGTTGTAGCTATCTTGCACCGTGCTTTGAAGCGGTCTCGGTACTTCTCGTACTCCCCCGCGTCCTTCTGGTCAAGCGGCTCGTTGGTCTCGGCGTCCATCCACACCCCATCGTCTTCGTAGATCTCCCGCTTCCCCCATTTATCGAGGGGTCCAGGTAGGAAGTGGAGTCCCAATCCCCCTCGGGTCGTGAACCTGGTCATGTGTGAGAAAGGGATCTGCGAAGTTCTTTCCTCCCCCGCCTGTTGTGGTGGATCACGTCCCTGTGTCACTGGTCGGCTCCC